ATATATATATATATATATATATATCTTTATTTTTTATTATTATAATTTTTTTACATAAAGCATGTTAAGTACACATAATAGTAACACTCACCTTCTGAAGCAGAGGCTCCTGGGGGCTGGGGCCCTACAGGTGTTGGCGGTACAGGTCTCGGCCAAGGCTTCCCTGAAGTAAGGCCTGTCCTCACGACCCCAACATACTCCACAAAGGTGCCGGGGAAGTTGCCCTTCTCCTTAGTGCGTTCATTGGTGCCATGCAGCCAGCCCTTTGGGCACTTCTCGTCACCCTCCTGGTAATCGGATGTCAGCAGTGCCATCTTACTGACCGTGAGGAGATCTCCAGGCTGCAGGGAGATATCGTCACCCCGCTCCTGCTTGTACTCGAACAGTGCACAGTACTGGAAACTGTCAAAGCTCATGATTTGTTCTTTACATGAGCTCCGTGGCTTTTCTGTGTTTGATGCTTTTTTAAAACTGACCTGGATATAAGTCCTTGGTTTAAGTCCTGAGTGCTAACTCACTTGGAACGTCCTTGGGTTATATCCTGAGAGCTCACTGACATTCAGCTGGGTTTCTTGCAAGGGTTAAAACTCCAACAGTACCATGTGTTGGGCAGAGGCCGTTATTGCGCAGTTTTAGATTTGGTCCATACATAAAAAGCACAAATTTATTTGAAACGAATTCTAGCAGTCTGTGGCAAGATAAAAAACAGGGTCAGAAAATGCAAAGCCAGCCCCATGAAGCGAGGGATGAACAGACGGATGAGGGTGCAGGACAGTGCTAGCACAAATTTGGGGACACAGTGACCTGGAATCGGGACGATGGGCTTTTCTGCAGTGCTGGCACTAGTCCACATATAGAAATGAAACATTTATTGACGTAACCGCTCAGTCCATTAGCAGGTGTGGTCAGAAAGATATTAACATGGGCATTGCCAGTCTACTTATCAAATGCCAGAGCAAGAGCCTTGTTCATCTTCTTGATAAAGACCTTAAAAACTGAAAGCATTCATTTTACAGTTAGTTTCACAAATTCTAACTCAAATCAACTTAAAATACAATCTTTGCATTTCAATAAAATAACAATCCCTGCATTATTGATTGTAGCTAATATGCAAAAGCACTGTACTGCATGCATAGCATCACATCATATGTGTGGTTAATCAGTCGCTGAGCAATGCAATGAAAAATGACATACAGCCTACATGTCTGACTTACAGCGCGTGACTGTGACAGTGCCAACTTGTGTACAGCGTGCAGAAACTCGACTCGCGTGATATTGCTTACTATATAACTTACCTCCTGTCTCGCTTCCCCAAACTGCCCAAAATACAAGATGCACGTAGTCCAACGCAAGAGGAACGAGGGAGCATTATATGGTCTGTTTAGTTAAAACATGCGTTTAAAATATTTTCCCAAATAACCTGCGTGGCTGAGTCAGACATCCAGTCAGACTAGTGCTGTAGTACGGTTCAGTCCGAGTGACGTAAGAGACCACGCCTCCGCTGTCTGCTTATCACACCGTGGGACAAAGTTAGGAACTCGGATGTCCTTGTAGCGGTCAGGAGATGAAGAACGCACTGCAGCGTGAAAATGTTGCGTCGTACTTTTTTCATCTGCCTAGACACAGTCCCACAAGTTATAATTATATACGTCTGACGTGTGCAGATCACATTAAAGGCGTACATCAGCATAATCTTTTCTCTAGACCAGGGTTTTTATCTTTACAGACAAGAAACCAGTATAAAACATTTTATTCTATTTTATTTTATTTTATTTATTTATTTAAGAATATTTCACTCAAAAATACTCGGTATGACTGACTTTTTATTTTATTATTTTATTTTATTTCTAGCAATATATGTTTTGGGTAATTCTTTACAAGAAAGGAATAAAACTGGAAAATGTATCACAGAAAAGACCTGAAAAGACTAACTGTAATACAGGCTTTATTAATTTTATTTATTTATTTCAAATTAATTAATTTTTTTAGGGCAAATGTAGTAGCAGTAGCACAAAATTCGTGATTTAATATTTCCTTGGCAATGTTTTTTTTTTCTCACGTTTTGGGGAAAAATGTGTTTAAGGCGTATCAAACACAATTTATTACTTTATGATTGATTTAATCACTTGACATTTTAAGAGTCATTAAATCAAAATGTTCTGTTACAGATTTTTCAAAAATGTATGAAACCAACATGAACACAAATGCTACATTTGGCGCAGTTAGATTTATAAAAGATTAGATTTGTAAAAGATTTTTTACATCATTACTTTTCATAATCTCTGCCATTCCTATTTGCCATTCCTTAATATCACATTATAAATAATGTGAATGATGGTATAGGTTCTAAATAGTAAATTATATCTATCATCAACTAACCTATAAAATAATTAACCTTAAACGGTTCATAGGCTTAGTCTAATCTGTTTTTAATGCTGTTCTCATGCTAAACCATTTATCACATTCAGTACATAATTCAAGTATTTGAAATAGTACATATTAAACTCTCTAATAGAGTAGAAAATATTGAGCGTATGTTTTAATATCAGTAATCATTGCTTCTGCAATACCTCAGTCAGTTGAACCAAATCACTCCAGGAAACAACCATACAATCTTTTTAAATTAGCCTTCTACAGAGGTGATAATTGATGAGATTTTCATTTCTTTTATTCAAAGCTTACCCAGAGCAAGACTATTGTGATTAAGAACTTAATCTGAAATGGAATATATATTTAATGTGAGTCTAGGAGCCTTAGGTCCTAATGATCATCCATTAAATTAGCACATAATCTCCTACATCTATCTTTTAAATAGTTGTTTTCTCAGAATACCTAATCGTTCTACCTCTCTTCATTGCGGTCATTGGAGTAACTTGGCTTCACTTGTCATTGTCTACCCTCAGTGCTTGGTACAATATTTTGTAATTCTGTGCCTTTGAATAATGCAGGTAATTTCATATGCCATAAGGCTGAATGTGTAAATCTGATACAAAAGACACCTAAGCTCGGTGCATGAGAATAGAATAGTAAACACCAAGACCTTACGCAAATGTAAAGCGACAGAAATAAATTTGTGGTGCAGAAAGATAAAAATAATCAAGATAAAGCACCCATTTGGGCATGAATGCATGCACACAGTCTCCGGCACATGCTTTGATGCATACTGAGATGTTTCACGAGTAATAATAACAATAATAATAATAATTCATTATTATCCGCTTGAGTCAGTGGCAAATCAGAAGAAGAAAAACAATTGCATGATGAAAATAGCAGTTCTGAACCTGACTGTCAGGATGTCTCTCAAATTAACCTGCATAATGACAGTTTGCATAAAGACAGACACAAATTGTTTAGTTCTGCTATTAGCGTTTTTGCATTAACCTTCACAGCATCTAAAGCCTGAGATGCCCTCTTCAGCAAATCCCCAGCACTTAGTGACATGAAGCTCCATTTCCTTTTCAATCAGTGACAGATGAGCTGGGAAGGTAATAAAGGTCTTCAGTCAGCAATTTGGCTGTTCTTTGGACCAGCTGCTTGTCTCCACAAAATTTCAAGCACACAAGGATGAACTTGAATTTTATACTGTAGGGGGAAAATTATTGAATCAAACAACTCACATAATATTTGAACAATATAATTTATTAATTCAGGGTCATATCCAATAATTTACATATTAGACACACTGCAGCCATGTTTATTTTAGCTCTTACTGATTTAGTATTAAAAATGGAAAGCTGTTCATTGTTTAGAAAAGCAGAAAATTCCATATTTTACATTTGAGACACAATGTCCATTGGCCATTTATTTTGTTTATTTAGCTGTTAAGGCCCGTTCACACCAAAAACAATAACTGTATTGGTGTCCACACCAACACATAATATTATGATGTTTATTATACGCACATAGTGCTTATAACTGCAGTTGCTGTATGTCATCTGCCGCTTTAAATGGTTGAGCTCTTTAAAGCAGGATGGATTCTGATTGGCTGTTGATGTTTTTATTGTTTATCAGCTGGAGAAAATTGTTCTGAAAGTGATTCCAAGAATATTGTGTCTTTGTATCTTTTTTGTTATAGTTGTGGTGTGGACTATTTTTATAGAATTAGAACAATTGTTAAAACTTTATCATTATCCTTATCGTTATAGTTATTGTCCTTGGTGCAAAAGGGTCTAAACATTTTTTTTTTTTTAGTATTAAAGATGAAAATGATTCCCTCTAAAACATTACAACAAAGAAAATTCCAAGCTTTAATAAACAATCACAACTGTGTCCGTAAAGATGTGTTACATTGTCTTCCAACATTCCAACAAAGAGAGACAAAGAGAGCAAGAGGGAGGGAGAAATATTTGCATTTCTTAAGCATGCCTAAGATTTGCAATTGCATTTCATTTAGGGATAATACAACAATACTGAAGTGTATTGGTTTAGGCCTGTTCCTCTTGTAGACTTCAAAGCTCTATCTATCCCGCACTAACCAAAGCAAATACTGATCCACACCATGCCAGATGTTTTTTTAGAAACACATCTGTTTTCATTTATCAAACCCACCAACATTGAACCTACTCTTCCAGCCACATTTATGAATCCAATGACTGATAAAGACAATAGGAAAGGTTTGGATTACATAGAAAACCTCCACCCACAATAATAAAACTACCTACTTCAGTTGGGTGTAAAGATGTGGTCTCTATATTGGCGATGTAGATCTCACATTCAATTGTCTTTTTATGTCTGTACTGTCAAAATAAATGCATATACGTCCAGGGCAACTGTTGGATCTCATAGTCTATAATGACAACCAGTGCAGGCCCTGAAGCCCTGAGGGTTGATGCTTGCCTGAACGGTCCCATATACTGCCCCCTCAAGTCGACATATGGAAGATATATTGCACTGATCAGAGGTCAGGGGCATATTGGTGGCACATGGTTAGTATAATACAAGTATAGTGAGATAGACAGTCATATGTTCAGCAGAAGGTAATACAGATATTATGTTGGGAATGTAATTTTGGTCAAATTACTGTAGGGAATGTTTGTTTCGCTTATCACATGAAAACGTGTCTTCAAGTGTAGGTGATGGAAGAAAAGTCACTGAAGTGTGTAATAGAAACACAGGCAGATTTGACGGTATCTTAACCTATGTTCTGTATCTACAGAGGATCAGGTAAGAGCAGACTATAGGTAGACGTTGACATTTATAAGCATGAGTGAACACATCGAAAATGCGATGTACGTAGCTAAACATTCAGTTGTACTGAAATTGACAGCTAGGTATCTGAATGTGTGATAATGTTTATAGGCTACTGATACTGACATAGGTTGCTCTATGAGGGTTAATGTGTTGCAAACCAGTGAGATGATACATCATATATCTGCAGTGCACACATGGTTTCAGAATCATATCCTATATTGCAATACCTTGAATCAGCTGCTTCATTATAATAACTACACTAAGAAAAGTCTGTAAAATATGACCCAATGTACTGTTAATTCCGTATTTTACCCGTATTTTGAATATGTTGAATACGTATTTTGAATGTGTTGTGTTTTAGGGTTCCGTAAAGTTAATGGAAAATGTACTGACATTTTAAAATAATGTAATAATTTGTAATAGTATTGAGGGCTCTTTATGTCTTAAAGTTACAGTAACTTACAGTGTTAAAGTAATCTATCTATCTATCTATCTATCTATCTATCTATCTATCTATCTATCTGATTTTGGTGCCTGTTTTGTTATGTTGACAGATAAATAAATAAATAAACGGACAAATAAATAATCCTTGTTTCACAAGAAAACTTGTGAACTATATTCTGTCACTTCTGAAGCACTCAAAAATTAAATGGCACTATACAGAAGAACAGTCAATAACATCAAATGTCATCTCTCATGGACCAAACACATCATATTAATCAATCATATTTGAGAGCTGCATACAGTTTAAAATAAAATAAAATAAAATAAAAAAGTCAGTCATACAGTACAGGTTTTTAACAGCATGAGGGTGAGTATTTTTGAGTGAAATATTCCTTTAAATAGGCATGTAGGTATGTTTGTGCATGTATAAAAGAGGCTCCAGGAGCATCTTACATCTTCAGCAGGAAATGTTTAGAGGGGTGGGTCGAAGGACAAAGACATTAGACTAGAGGACAGTAAAAAAGAACAAAAATGCACTGAAGAGGGGTCACCTACCGCCTGCAGCATCACTTGTAAAGAGCTGTTACCCAACCAAAATAAACATTATAAGATGTAATAAAATGAAAGGAAAGTCACAGAAAGAAAAGGAAGACTGCTGCCAAGCCTGGCTGCCCCAGGGATGAGTGAATAAGAGAGGACGGCCAGAGAAAGGCAATGATGTCATCACAAGCCTGAAAAGAAAAAGAGATCATGAAGGACATGAATGGGGTGTGATAGAAGGGTGCAGAGAAAGCAATGACAGAA